ACAGCTAGAAAACACTTTTAACTGTTTGTTTTTTCTTTTCTTTGGTATCAGAATAGAAGGTGCATATATGTGTTTCAAAACACTGATGATACAGAACTGAAACTGTAAAGATACTGATTTGAAATTGATTACTTTTCTTTAGTAGATTGTGCTCTTCATAATACCTTATGAGATTATTCTTTGACTGAAAGGAATAAGTATTAGGGAGTTTAAATAAATAAAGAGCCCTAGTGCCCCAGGTCAAAACAAATCCTCAAGAATATTAATGGCAAAGCTTCCTTAGACTTCACTGGTTTCAGAATTTCACCACCAAGTCAAAATTCAGACTTAGGGTCGAAATTTTATCAACCCTTTATAAAATCCAGAAAATAAAACAGACGCTTGAAGCAAAAATAAGCCTTGTAACTCTTAGAGTTGGTACACTAATTTTTGCAGCTTGAAATAATAAAAAAGTCTGGTTCCTATTCATAAAATATATAAATCCCAATAAACTCTGATAGACTCACAAACAGAAAACCAGAAAACTTTATAGTGTTCCTGAAGTACAGAGGAGAAGGACATAAAATAATATACAAAACCATGCCTACTGCAAACATTAAACCTAAGTGATCTATAAAATAACATACTCATTTAGATAGTAAGCCATGTTAATTTAAAAATATCAAATGATCTTTATACAGTAAAAATGTCTTTGCTTTCCATAAAGAGAGTTAAGATAGCTTTGTAAAACCTTACGACAGGTAGGTAGGCATATTGCATAAATATGTGCACTGCTACATATATACAAGTCTTTAGGCAATGTACAGTCATGGAAACCAGAAAATGAACGTATGGAGTTTAGAACATGTAGACTATGAGCACCACAGTAAAATACCCAGTAGAATAAAATTTGCCACTTGAGTTATAAACAAATAACTGTCTCTAAAATACATTCAGATGGTCATAACTTATTGCCTTAATCTAGGAAAATTAACAGAACCCTTAAGGTTGCAACATGAGTGATTTTCAGTTGCTACAAATCAATAGAATTCTACCAATGTCAGAAGTTGTACCTTGATTTACACCAGCTGAGAGTATGGCCAAATATACTTGAAACTGTGTTTTAAATGCAACATAGAAAGTAAATATTATCGTCACGCAAATCATGTATTTTAAAAAAAACCTGCACCATTATAGAAGATGAACTCAACAAATTACAGCCACGTTGCATATTGCATAACAAGCACATCATCATGTATAGTGATATATTAAAGAGAAATGGATGTCCCAAAATGGTCTTTTGAAACTTAATGTGAATATCATATAAAAAGGAGGTTTTCAAGAGTGTAAAAGCTTACTAACTGATAAAAAAATAACACTGCAAGTAAAGACTGCTTTACTTCATACTGATTTAATTGTTGTTTGATTGCAGTGAGTGATAAAAAAATTCTGACTCAATAATGCTCTGTAGAAGGTGTTTCTTCAACCAGTATTTGTGGTTCCTACCTCTGCGACTACTCATCACTCACTCCTGTAGGATCTGAAATCTGCTCATTTCTCCCCAGCAATTAAAAGCTTGTGTATCTTCTATTTTGTGAACAAAACCAAATAAACAGCTTGATTATTTGCACGTATGGGTAGCAGTAAAATAAATAAATAAATAAATGAATGAATGAATAAATAGATAAATATACTCGCAGACAGGATAAAAGAGTTTGAATATTCCACACTGCCCATCACAGGGCAAGACGATCGTGTTCCTTAGTGCCCAAAAGCTCCTCTAGACCATAATTTAGACCATTACTCTCTGGCTCATGTTACCTGTGAAAGGCTGTGTCCCCAGGAAGGTCATATCTGCACAGACTGCAACTTCTCAAGGACTGAAAACAAGGTACTTCTCATCTCCGTGGAACAGATTAACTTTTCGAGCATTTTTCTCCAGAGCTGTTCTGGGATATCACTTAACAACACCTATAACCTCATTAAGCTTTAGGTCTGAAGGTTTAATTCTTGCACTTTACTTTTCATACTGGAATAACATGCCAATAATTCTAAAAATTGGCAAACTGGCCAGGAACAGACCTGTGTAAATTTGAAAATTTGAAAGTAAATTAACTAGGTTTAACAAATTTGGTGGATTATTTAGCAGTTGCAATAATATTTACTTATAAATTATACTACTAAGTTACAGAATAAATATACACATTTAATCTAAAATACCAGATAAAACATGAAGAACTACCCTTATATAACTTACTTAAAGTTATATTTCTAATAATAAAACAGAAACTCAAAATATTCTTTTATTAGGTAATTTCATTTAGCATGTTAAATTTTGAACTTCACTTGTGATTAATTTTTATATTGGTTTTACTTTTACATATGAAGTCACATATACAAGCAGTTCTAGCATTAAAGGCAATACCATATTAGAAAATTATTACATTTGATGGCTATTAGTCTTTTATTGTAAGTAGTTTATACACTATTGAAAAGCAATTACAGTAGATAATAAATAATTTTATATGCAAGGTCTTAAAATTTTTTAACAACTTAAAATAGAAATATAAATAATTTTAATTGTACTAAAAAAGTAAAATTCAAAGCTGTTGGAATATTTAGTGGAAAAAAATGTGGACTTCTAAGTTAATAGACTGGATTTTTCAATGAACGCTGTGACTGAAAATTTCAAATTGGTGATTTTTAATCTCCTGTCAGGTGCAAATGTATGGATGTGGTAAGGTGAAACTAGCTGTCTTATGTGGTTTCTTTGTTTCAAGTGTACAGCTATATAATTAGATGGATTTTGCCTTTGAGAAGACGTCAGAGCCCAGGGGACTGTCTGCACTGAGTACAGCAGACGATGGCAGAAATGAAAAAGCCAGAGCATATCAGCTGAGGTGGGAGATGAAGCAGCCAGCACATGCCTCCCAGCTTCCAACAGAGATTCCTTCGCGTGGCACCTGCCTATGACAGGAGGTAATGGGGACATACAGATTATGTAGGCATGCTGCTGAAATAAAGGAGGAGTACAGAGTCGCTCCTTATGCGCTGTTTTTCAGGTACCAGAGAAACAGGCATTCACTTACTCACAGCTAAAGAAAATGTACCTTCCTCATGGCATTTCAGGGATAGATGCTCAGCAACATCCCGCTCCGTGCCACAGCCTCAGGCAGGGGATCCAAGCCCCTCTCCAGAACCAGGCTGACTACTGCTCCTGTTTCTCAGCTTTTTCCTTATTCACGTGGTTTAGCCCTTGGTAACTGCACAACATGGAAAGCTCGCATCCCTTGACTCGCTGACACCGTAATCATAGTGGCAAGATGTCATCTACCATAGTTTTAATGTTGAATTATACTGAAACTTGCAATATTGATACAGGTAAGTTCTAATGCTATAGCTGCAGAAACTAATAACCAGGTTATTTATGTTTTAGGATATAGTATTACTTTTCAAATGGTAAATGTCTGTAGCTATTCATATGCAATGTATATTAATAATATTCAAAAAAATTACTATTCTTTCAGTTCAACTGTATGTAATTTTATTACACTATATAAAAAGAAGTGATTAATTGGAGAGCTAGCACCTACCTTTTATTATGGAGGGCCTACCTCTAGCACTAACAGTCATGCTGCAAATCCTTAGCTTCATTCACATGATGACACCTCATTTTACCTCAGAGAGGTGGCTCTGTCTCAGAACCACTTCTGGTTTTATTCTGGACCATCGCAGGTGTGGGTCTGACATATCGCATACTATAGCAACTGGGAAGATTTCTCTGGCTAAAGCTGAGTGAGGTTCAACACCAATAAAAAAGGCTGCAGAGGTAGGGAGAATTCTCTGAAATACAGTTAGAAATAACGGCAGTATATTAGTATTAACATGACTCTCTATTCTATGTTATTTTATTTCTTCCTCAAAATGCTGTGGGAGAGAGATGAAGAGAGGTAAGAATCTGAATCAAACCCTGGTGGGTACCCCTGTAAAGCTCTTCCTGACCTCCCCATCATGCTCATGAGCTCTTGCTATCCTCTTACACTGCACAGGCAGCGAGGACCTCACTCTGATGGACCCCTCTCCCACCAGTGGATGTGTGCACTCAGGGAAAGCTGGCTTCATGGAACCAAGGCCTTGCTTATGCTCCACCTTTCTGCTCGAAGCAATATTCCCTTGAAATCAAATTGACCTTGATCTTTTCCTTCCCCACTGCCCTCCCCACCTCCCCCATCATTGCTGTTATTTTTGTTACATCGTCTCTTTTGTCATTTAGTAGAAAAGAGATGAGCTCCAACAGTCAGCAGTTTGTGCACATACTACAAGTAGGCAAAATTTGTCACAGTGACATGAAACCACTAACACAAACAGATCTATTACCCTTTCTCTCTTGCTCTGTAAGACAGATGCCCTCAAGGTATTAGCCTCTCAGCCTCCCTGATAAATCACTGATGGACAGGAAACCTGATTATCCCAACATAGCAGGAGTGGGGGGTGCTATCCGTCTGCAGAAGAACGAGGAAGAACAACATCCATGAGGCTTATAATGAAAGATTTTTGATATACTTAAGTAGTTAACAAAAATTTATTGCAAGAGATAGTTTGTCACTAGATTTACAGTTTCAGAGAACATAGTACAAAACATAGTGCATCGGCTTTGTCTAAACATTAAATAGGTGCAAATACACAAAGATTAAAAAAAAAAAAGGTGAATACTTTACAATGTAAGTTATAGAACTATAAATATATTTTATATACATTATACATATTTTCTAAGACATTATTTCACTTACATATATATATAGAGATAGTTCATATTAGTATCAGACTATTCAGTGCTTTAGTTATAGTATAGGTCTGAACTGGACGTGAAGGTTTGCATCGTTATACTTACAGTAAATGTCTCCCAAGGAACAAGGAGTTCTAACCAGTTTATTTCATGGAACCGTTTTGGCAGAGCGAAGGGGACTGCGGAAATAGCAGGACCTTTTACCTCAAGGCTCCTTCCACCACCATCCCCTGTCCTAAAAGAGGGGCTGCAGGGGGATGACAGCTGGATGTGGGGACAGCAGGGACGGGAAGACAGCGTGAGGCAGCGGGGCCAAGGCCAGCTGGCTGGGGTGCAGGACCGAGGGCGGCAGCAGCGGCAAATGCGGCGGGGCGACGAAAGCTGTGTGGCCTCCAGGGCAAATCCTTGGTCCTACTGGCAGATGAGGTAAAGGTGCTCTGGAAAGAGCCGGGACCTGGGAGACGAACTGCTGGTGGGGCTGGAGAAACTTCAACGTGCTGGCAGCGGCGTGTTGCTGCAGGACAGTGTGGTGGATGGTGGTAATGGAGGTAGAAGAGAGCGGCGGTTGCAAGGGCAAGGGCTGCAGCGGGGAACTGGGGGGCTGGATGGCTGGGGAAGGGAAGGTGAACTTCACTTTGTTGGCCAGCATGTTTTGGGGCAGGATCTGCTGATACGCCTCCGACGGGAGATCTTTGAATTTGTTGTGGTTGTCTGGAGGGAATATCAACGTCTGATCTGGCAGGGTGAAGGGGGCTATTAACTGCTCGGTAGTTAAAAAGGTATGGCTATTTACATGTGCTTCTTTGAATGGCAAGGGTAGTGGGCTGGTAAATATGCCCGGATTACACGGTACCCATTCACTGGTCACCTCATTTATTTTCTCATGTGGTAGAGACTCAGGCAGTTCGTAATGGCAAAGATTGGATCTAGGAGGAACTTGTTCCAAATGTCTGCTGGGGAGCGGAATTTTGTAACGAGCTTGATTTTCATGACTGTTGACATTTTCTTTTTTCTTCTCGTCCTGCAGAACATCCTGCACACTGGCAGTTGCTGGAGCATTGTGCTCAGGAACAGAAGCAGCAGAACCTGTGATGACATCAGAAAATGTACTCGGAGTGCTCTCCATTGCTGTGCACCCTGTCAGTTTGTCATTTTCCAGCACATGTGAACTATCAGTTTCTAGACATGACTTGCTTTCTTCCAGCTGCATTGTTTCTTCAGTATCTTTTGCTTGATCAGCTTTAGGATCTACATTAGTTTCCTCTAGACTGTCTTGAGTCAAGAAGTCCGCCAAAGTATTTGAAGTAGAACTTGCAGAATTTTCTTTGGAAGGTTTGGAGGTCTCACTTTTTGCATTCCTGTCAAGGAAAATGTGATGGATTCTAGTTTTCCTTCTCCTGTGTTTGCCTTTTGCCTTGTGATGTGTACCTAAAATATGTGCTTGCCTTAGATACTCCTCTGCTGATAATGTCTGACTGTATGAGCTTTCATCTGATGAGGAGGAGCACGTATGTTGTCTCCGCTTGCGGTGGGATTTTTCAGTTTCCTCTGTCAGAAGGCTATAACCTCTCTTTATGGACTGGTTTTGACTGGTGCTCTTCTCCTCACCGCTGTGTCCTAAACATTTATGCTCTGGACTACAGCTTGGCCTCCTGACTTTGCAGCTACAACACTTTTTAGAGTACCTTAAGCTGTGCCTCCTGGAACTCAGAGCCAGCTGCTTAGCCTGTCTCTGAGAGCTTCCTTTGCTCTTTCTGTGCACCCGTTTACAACCACGGTGGTGGCCACTATTTTTTGCACCCCAAGCACAACACCAGTCTCTGTCCCCATATGCATAATCTGACATCGAGATGACTTTCTTATGACCATTTTCAATGCCCAGTTGTTGATGTGACTGCTGTCTCTCCCCTGCAGCTAGCCAGATATTCCCCGCATCATGTCTGCCCCTCTCAGGATTATTTTGGAGGAGCAGATATTTATTTTCATCTCCATAACTAACTTCTTTCTCTCTCACTGGGGACATCTCCATTTCTGCTGCTGTTGTGTCTCCACAGTGATGATGATGAAAATGACAATGACATAATTTTCTTCTCCTTTTCCGTTTTCTACTTTTGTGAAGCCATTTTGCATGGTTTTTTTTGATCCAGACTTTGTTGTATTTCTCGTCTATCACAGTGTTTTGTCCTAAGGAATTTTTAGAAATGTGATACTTTTCCACTTTTCTTATCCTGAATGACTCATCCAAGGGCACTTTATTTTGATTTTTTGCAAGATCATGATTTCTGATGAGGGAAGCATCACTTATAAGGGGTGTCATAGAGTTGCACACATTTTTACTCGTTTCTGTTTCATAATCATGACACTCTGAAGTAGGTTTATTTGTAAAATCCAAGACTAAGGTAGGGTTGGATTCAGTTTTATGGTGCACGTGAGGTATGTTAGGCTGATGCTTGGGCTTTTCTTGGCTGTCGCTCGCTCTCGATGATTTGAAATCAAAATACAGAGGATTACAGCTGTAAGAAATGGATGGGTCTGTACTCGTGTAAATTAACATTTCTGACGGCCACTGAAGAACATTTGATCCATGTTTGCTAAGAACAGGAACAAAGGGCTCACAAGGTCTCTTGTGCACGTCCGGTTTGCTCTCTGGAGCTCCACTACCACCTTCTTCAGGTGGCAACAGAACCAATGCATCTGCCCCCAGATTTTTTATTTCAGTTTCAGTTGTAGATGAATCACTGTTCCTGTCTTTATAATTCTCCTCCGCAACATCCTGCAGAGATAAACAATCCTCCATGACTGCCTGTGTGAGAGCCTTGGTTGCCTGCAGCTCGTAACTGCTGCAGTCCAGGGGCAGGACCTGAGCACCGTCTGCAACCATGGGCAGCGACTGCTCTGGTGCGTCTGCTGCACTTACATCAATACCACAGCTCTCTATGTCCAAGGACACTGGTTGCTTCGAATGGCACACTGCAAGAGTTAATTCAGGACTCTCTAGTACCCCGGTTTCTTCACTGGCCAGCTCTTTTGACTCCTGAGCTTCAGAAGCTGCTGCTGGGTCAGTGCATTTTTCTACCAGTGGGTGAAAACAGTTCTGTTTCTCCTCAGGGCTCAGGGCTATTTCTGCTGCTGCTGCTGGAGACTGAAGGTTACAAGCTCCTGGAACAAACCTACTTCTTCTGCTCAATCCGTGCTCCATGGACGATTTGTCATTATATTCATAAAAAACAGCAGCTGAAGACTCCAGTTTGACTGCTGCTTTCTTAGGAAAAGCAAAAGAGAACCCAACTCTATGTCCTTGAGTTCCTTGAACTTGATCTCCACATTTGTTAGCATCAGATTTATCACTACACGCATTTCCGGGAGTGGAAGAAGTAAGAGAAGCCACATCTTTGCAATTCTGGGCATCTTGCATTAATGAGCAGCTGAAATCCTGCTTGTTGGCAGGATCTATGGCAGCACTTGGTGGGATATCATTGCAATGATCTTGCACTGTCACTGTCGTGGATTTGAACATTGGCCCACTTCCAGGAGCACTAGGAAGGAAAAGAAAACTCCAAGTCAGTGCCTTTGGAAGAACTGTGGATAGAATCATGGTGTAACATTGGTATTGAAGAGATGTTTTTTTAAGAGGAAGAATATCTGAATATATAGATTTAGAATATTAAAAAGACATTTATAATCAGATCAGTTGACCTCTATTTAAAAAAA